TTGACAGTCGTTGACAGCTTTTGGACATTTGGGAATACATTTTGGGATCAAGAACTATTTTCATCTCTTTTCCATTAATGAGTCATTTAGTTAGAGTTTATTTCTCGAATAACTATGAAATGATTTATTATTGTTTTTAGTTTTCTAATATTATGTCTGGCTAAATTCATAGCTAAGATTATGGTGGATCCTTTGCATGACTCTGTATGATCATTATGTTTGATAATAATTTTAGTTTCCTTTATTGATTAGTAATTATCTTATTACGCTATATTTGTATATTCAAAATTGATAAATATTAAATATATCATAATTAATTACATTACTATTATCCTATCGCTATATAGCTAATGGATCTATAAAGTAAATCGAGACAAAGAATTAAATAGACCAATTTTAGTTTTTCTCTTTCAATCGTTATTAAATTAGCAAGCTCGTGAACTATTTATGTTTTCTCTTTCTTTTGCCTTGTATGACAATTAAGAGCAATAACTTAAAAAAAAGACTGTTTGTTGGATACTTTATGTGTGAACTAGCCTAAATCAATTTTTGTTATAACTTTAATTTAATTCTAGGTTAATTAGATGCTAAAATATTGAATCATGTTGTTTAGTCCATATTATAATTAATTATTATTACTGAAATTATTTGTAATAACTTTATTATTTTTAGTGAATATGGTTTTATGGTTATTATTATTAGGTTGAGTCATAGTGAATAGGTTTGACCCATCCTGTTATTAATCAAAGAGGCTCATACTCTTAACCACTTCAACATAATTGTTGCTGCATTGAAATAGTATACATAAAACATCTAAAAGAGTGATAGGAGTTCTCTTTCTGTTTTTGTTTTCTTTCATTGATCAAGGAAGCACTCAGTTATGAACTCATTAATCTCAACCGTTTTGAGTAATTCTAATTCAATCTAATTAGAGCATTTGTTTATCATTTGTTATGTTGAGAATTAGATTACAGTTTTTCCTTTAATTGATCTCAGAGCTTGTCTAATTTTAATATGTCAGTGATGTTACTATTGTTAAAAATGTATACTTGTATATATAATGACATCAAAATTATGTTTCTTTCATCATGTATTGGGGAAAAAAAAACATGGAAAAATCGAGTCTACCAAATTCTTCTTGTGGAGTTATCTAAGATGCTAGAGACTATGATTTAAAACAAAAATACATGGGTGAGTTTTGTAGAGCATTAAAAAATGAAATCCATAAACACTAAAGTCATTTCAAATCATTCTTGTAAGAAAATCTATTCTCGACTTGGCTAGAGCTTAAGGATGACAAATAAAAAATTTGTTTAAAAATATTAAACACTCTTCTAATTTTAATTTAAATAAATAAATAATTTTTTTTATATATTTCAAGCATTGTTGTTACATTATATTCAATATACTCTCAGATTTGGTATTGTTTGATTGATTAAATAATTTTGTACTCTATTATATGCTTATTATTAATTATTGTGATTATATCATATTGTTATTATAAAATTTGCGACAGATATGTTGTTTTAGACCATTTTATATTACTATTTATATATTTTATGATAAGATGATAATGATGATGACGACGAAGATTATTATTATTATTATTTTTTAAATTTAATTTATTATTATTTCTGATTTTTATTAACATATTAGTATTTTGTTAATATTTTTAGTTTACATTGTATTGGTTTATTTTATAATATTATTTCAGATTTTAGCTAATATTATTGAAATAAAAATATTATTACAAGTCAAATATAATAACATAATTTTGCTTATATTTATGATAAGATTATTATTATTATTATTATTATTATTATTTTAAAAAAAATAATTTATTATTATTTCTGATTTTTATTTAACGTATTAATATTTTAAAATTTATATTGCATTGATTTATTTTATAAATTATTTCAGATTTTAGATAATATTATTGAAGTGAAAATATTATTACAAGTCAAATATAATAACATAATTAATAAAAGAATAAAATAAAATATACTGCCAAGCTTTCCTTATTTCTACATATATTTTTGTTAATTATTAAGCGATACTAATAATTATTGTCTACATAATTGCACTGATAACTACTCAGCACAACTGGTTTTTTTAATTGCTATTTTTTGTTAAAATATTATTATAATATTTTGTATTCCTTTTTTGTATGTAAATATTATTATGATATGAATTTTATTATTTTTATATTTTTAAATACGATTTTATTATTACTTTCATTTTATTATATTATTTTATCAACATTTTTACTTAATAATAAAAGTTATGGTAAATATTGTATATATAACTTTTATTTTAGATATATACTTATATTTTCTACAGTTATAATATTATCTTACTATTATTTTTCAGTCTATTATACTATTAAGATTTTCTATTTTTCAAAAGTATAATGTAATTTTATTATTACTATTATTTTCCAAATTACCGTGGTATATGATATTTGTTATTTTATTAACTTATATTCTTATAGTTTCTTAACTTCTAAAAGTATGTAATATAATATAATATAAAAATTTGAATTATTCTTATTATAATTACTGTAATGAAACACAATAATTGATGTTAAATGTAATAATATTTTTTTTTAAATGACATGTTAAATATTAATAAAATATTTATTTTATTAAGTATTATTTTAGAAATAACTTGTGATAAGATCTTATATAAATTAGATTAATAATTATTAACATGTATTGTTCATTTTCTTTAGAAATATAATATAAATAAATGATTTTTTATTTAAATATTATAATATTATTTTAAAATATTATCATAATTAAAAAAAATACTATACTTACTTTAATAAAGAATACTGTAACAATTTTTTTACTATATTTATATATAATTAGTAATTTTTTATTCATTACATAATCTTATCAAATTAAATTAAATTTTTATTAAACAATTAAAATATATTATATATTTATTTAAAATTTAATAGAATAAAAAATAAAATATGTGTATATATAATAATTTAAATTAGAAATTTTAGAATGATATTTAATTAAAAATACATAATATAAAATTACTTAACATGATAAAAAAAATATTTTTAAAAATACTCTTGATTAAAATCTTTTGAGGCTAAGTTAGGTTATTTATATTCATCAAATAAAATATAATAATTTATTATAAATTTAATTACATTACATTTTTATTATAATGATAAAAGTTGGCATGATTAAATAACTTTTTTAAAATATAATCGTTTTTTACATATTATTAAATATTAAAAAAATTAAAGTATTTATGAAAAATGATGATATTATTATTTTTAGTTTTACAATATTGCTTTATTTATAATTTTTTATTATTTTAATATATATATATTTTTTATAATATTATTTCAAATTATATCTAATATTGACTAACAATTACGCACATAGAAATTATTTCAATTTAATCTATGGTCTTAAATTTGATTTTCTTAAAAAAAATTAATTACAGTGTTATAAAATTATTTATTATTATTCAATATGATTTTATGATGTTTCTTATTTTAAATGAGATCATTTCATTAAAAAATTATAAAAAATATAATAAATTTTGCATATATATTATTTTATTTAAATTAATTTTATGTTTTGTTTAATGTGATTATAATATTAATTTACTATTTTTTTTCTGTTTTTAGTCTTTTATACTATTGCTCGTTTTATTAAGATTTCCTAATTTCTAAATACTATAATGGGATTTTATTATTATCACATGAAGTACCCATGCGACTGTAATAATTTTTTAAAACATGTATATTGGTTATTTTATTTAAACATGTTTATATTATAATAAAAATATATTATTTATTATTTTAAAATGTTATAATGTTTTTTGAATTACCATAACTGCTACAGTATTAGAAATTACTGTATCGGTTTGAGGAGGTTAATATATAATATAAATATTAAATAAGGTCAGTAAGTTGTCATTTTTTGGTGTGGAATGCAAATGGTTCACAAATTTCCGTTCTTACCCAAAGAATTAAAGTTTGAAATTTATAGTTGACCAAAAATAATTTTTCATTTTGTTTTAATTGATTGAAGATTTTATAAATTTCTTTCTTTTTTCTCTTTCTTCATTAAAATAATGAATTTTAATTAATTAAATAAAAAAGTGAAGATAGTAAATTAAAATTTTGATTTGACAGAGATCTCTATAAGATGCATTTGGACAACAGCGTGATTAAATTTTTATTTAATACATTTTTGTCATATAAGAGGTATTTTAAGCCATAAAACTTATGGTATAAGTGAAAAAAAATTATTTTAATAGGTTATATGAAAATTTATAAATTACTTTTATAAAACTTGTAAAGAATATCTATAATCGTCTTTTAGGATACTGAGTTGGTATTGAATTTCTAGGACGATCTAAAGAAAGCAAAATCATAATTGCTTTAGAAAAATCAATATTTGCTCAAATATTATTTTAAAACAATATTTAGATTAAAATTACCGAATATTTAAGAAAAAATCTATTCCAATAAATTCTTGACCGTATACATTAATATATGGAAGTTTAAAATAATTAATTAATGAAATATTTAATATTATAAAAATATACACACATTAATTTTTAAAGTTAATAAAAATAAAACATAGCATACAATACAATAAATAATAAACTGTATAGCTTTAGAAAAATCTAATTAATTTAATATATATTGGACTGGATCCGAACGTTGATTTCAAAGAAAGAAACAAATCTGCAGCGTAATTGAGAAAAAATAAAACACAAATCAAGAAGCAGTGTAATTTATTATTACAAATAGGAGAAAATCTAAAAAGTTACCATTCTTAAATTTGGCTCCCCATTTTGCTAATCAATTTAAATGCTTATTATGCAAATAGTTATATATTGTATTATAACTTTTTTTTTCTGCATTAATTACATGAAATTTATATTATATTATAAAGTATAGACGAGATGCAGTATATAACGATTGTTTGTTCTAACCAATAGTTTTAGAATAATGAAATGAATGCTATTGATGTTATGGTAAGGTGTGAAAGCATAGATTAACATGAAAATGACAAATAAGCCAAACCCTGATAGTTCCACCAATAGGTCTCAGCAACAGAAGAATCATCAGAGTGAAAGGGCAAATGGGAATGAAGGATCATCCTCACTCACGTCCACTAACCCTTATCCTCCCCCAACCGCTCTCTATCAGGACCTTGCTCGTGATGAAAAACTTTTCTGGGAAAAGCTTCAATCTTTTCACAATTCATTTGGCACCAGATTTAAGTAAGTAGGTCTTTATCTTTTTTATTTTTAAATTAATACCATTTTTCAATTACCCTCTTTTTGGCGGGGTTTGTTGCTGATTCTTGTTTTTGCTGTGGTGGGTTTGGTTTATTTTGCCTATTTGAGCGGTAAATTTGTGAGCTTTTGGTGTTTTCCTGCATGCCCAGTTACCGTTTAGCTGCTGGTAGAGAGGGAAATTGCTTGTGATGGTGAAATTTTTGTTGCATTTTATTTCAAGTTTGTTTTAGCTTGAGTTTGGAATTCCAAAGTTTTCTTGGTTAGTTGCTATGATGTTAAAGCTTTTTTGAGTTTTACTTTTCAAGATTGGTTTGCTACTTAGCTTTAATTAGTTTGATACTTCCTTCTTATTGATTTTATGCTACACCTATTCTTTTGTCGTCTATTTGCTCTAGGTGCTTACGGAGTGTTGTATGAAGTGTAGATGATGCAGAAGAATAATGGAATTAAAGTTAATGTTAGTTTTCCCTTTTTGTTTGTGTAGGGTTCCTACTGTAGGAGGAAAGCCACTTGATCTATATCACCTTTTCGTAGAAGTAACATCTCGCGGTGGTCTTGAGAAGGTATGCAGTTTGTCTATCTCTACTAGTAACTAATTGTTGAAAGTAGATCCATGGTGTTATGAAACGTGTTTTCTTTTACTTATTTCCCTTTATCTTATTTTATGATATGATTTTGGTGGACTTGAGTTGGAAAGAAAGGTAAAGGAGCTATGTGCTTTTTCAGCTGATTTGATGCTGATTGTCAAGATATCAACCTATCAACCGTGCAATTTACCTATGATGCAGCTCTGTGTTATTGAATTTTTTGTTAGATTCATTTCTCTTTAATGCAACTTTCTAAAATGACTCCTAAAGTTTTTCAAAAATTAATGCAGGTGATTGTAGATCGAAAATGGAAGGAGGTGATTACAGCCTTCCAGTTCCGGGATACCATAACGAGTGCATCATTTATGGTGCGCAAATGCTATCTGTCATTGCTTTATCACTTTGAGCAAGTGTATTACTTTCGGAAGCAAGGCCGTCCTTCCTTGACACCTGGTAAGAAAAGATGATTTTCATTTTCCCTCTCTAATTATGTTGTGATTAACTCCCCCTATTCTTGACCAATCGGTAATTTAATATATCCAGATTCTGCAAATCGAAGCCTTGCCAATAGCTCTGCTACCGATAAAGAAGGTGCTGCCGTGAATGATCCACCTGTTCAGAGTATGTTAACATAACAATTTGATCTGATTACTGCTTTGATGCTTTATATATTAATTTGATTATATATTTTTGTTCACCTAAAGCAGTGTCTCTAGCTTCTTCCTCTTGCATATTTTAATTTTTGAATGTAGTTTACTTCTGTTTATGAAGCAGTTACAGGATACAATATGACTGAGATCTGAGAGCCATTCAAATAGTTCCTTAATTCTCTCAATAAAAGAAAACCCCCTTCAATTAGGGCCTTTAGCAAATAACCCTCTATAAAAGGCTTTTAACCTATGCAAACTTTCAGTTTGTGGCATATGGCACCTCCCAACCCAAATTCCCAAACATTGGAAAACTTAATTACAAAGCTGATTGGCATTTGTCTAGTAGTGCACTTGTTGAAACAAGTTCATCAAAACCTTTGTGAATTAACTGAGTTTCTTTTAATTCTTTCTCTTATTAGTCAAAGGGTCAAATTCTGGAGGAAGTTTTTTAAATTTTATCCTTTTTGTTTATATATTATCTTCAACTGTAAACCTGAATGTTCTGGGGTTCCTTCTTGGAAAGCTTCAAGGAATTGTTGTGGCTTTAACTTTAGGATTTTGGAAGACATATCCAATGCAATTTTATTACTTTCTTGGATAGATTCAAGTATGGGATTCCTAGGTGAATTGAATGTATTGGAATGAGAAGGATGAAAACAGAATACCATTAAATGTCTTGTTTAAATGCCTTATGAGATAAAAGAGGAGGGTTGTGTTAGGCAGGCACGGGCCTTCTTAAAATTTTGTTAAGATCTCTACAACATGGATCAAAGGTACAGTTGTCGGAACTTGTAACATTCACTGACTTGTGAGTAGTGATGAAAAGATTTTGCACTTTCCTGTATTTTATGTGCTATTTAGTTGTTCTGCAAGAACAGATTAAGAATGACATGTTCAGTAGAACTGCAAGGGTAGATAACTTCACAAGCTGTGTTTTGTTGGCATTAAGTAAATTTGGTCTTCCTGATTTTCATGATATCTTTAGAGTTCAGAAGATTTTGGGTTTGAGATGAATCGCTTTGGAAGTAGACAAACTTATGATCAGCTTTGACTTAATTTGTGTATCTTCATGCCTTATGGAAATAATTTTGTAAGAATTGTTTTGTTTGGACAGTATGATGTAACATAACTTTGGGTGTGGTATTACCAAAACAAAAAAATATGCATTTTATTCTTTTGTAAATATATAGTACCTTTAATGGAGGCAAATTAGTAATTAGCCCTGAGTACATTTTAAAAAATTTAGTAAACATAAATTTTCTCTCCAAAATTAATGTTGGACTGCAAACCAAATATGCACCAAGTAACCGTTGGCTACACAACTTTTATTTAATTATTAAGGTTTTGTTGAGATCTAGGGTTTAAGTAAAAAATATGGAAACAGATAAAAATGTTTAAACAATTTGATGGAGACTGATGTCAGATGTTATACACATAGTTGTTAATAGCACTCTGTTGCGCTGGCATGGTGCGGAGTGGCTGTCGGCCACCACGTCACAGGACATTTGTCACGTCAAGGTGATTGTGGGTGATTCGAGGCCAGAACAGGGGGAGAAGTCACGTGGTGCCAATTTTGGGGAAAGGAAGAAACCCTTTTCTGTTTTTCCTAAAATGCACCATTTTGATTATTTTGAAGGGTAGAAAGGTCATTTACCTTTGATAAAACATATATTTCATAAAATCAGTTTCATCTTCCTCCGCACTCTTCCTCTCTACACAAAAAGTTGGGACCTCAAAATAGCGGTTTCTCCCCTCCTCACTGACTCACCCATTCCATTTCGCCGGAAAAATCAGCTTTTCCTACGTCTGTTCTACTTTTTTGTTTGAGCTCTATTTTACTGTTCACTGATCATTCTTGCTTTGCTGTTCAAGATCTATTTTTCTGTTCATCCTCTGTTTTGCAGTTCAAGCTCTGTTTAGCATTTTTTGTTTAATATAACATCCATGCTGCAAAGTTTTACACTTTTACACTATTACTTGGAATGATGATTATGTAATCTTGAGAATTTTTTGAGCATTTATATTAAAATTCTGTGTACATAACATATTATATATGCATATTATAAATTTTTAAATAGTGGTCATCCCGCTATATGCTATTATGCTATAACGTTTTAGGGGTCGGTTGCTATTTTCCGCTATTCGAGATTAACAACTATGGTTATACAATACCTAACATAATGTTCAGATTTATATTAATAGTTAAGTTAGGTACTAAAACTGCTGGTAGTCTAGTACAGGTACAACAAGTTCACTTACAAATTTACTAATAGCTCTAATATTCTGACAGATTACATGACTGAAAGGTTTTCAAATATATAAATTACCTGTCTTCTTCTTGTGCCAAGTGCCAACAATTTTGAGAATCTATCCCTAATGATTTAGGCTGTACTTTTTATTGTCAACAATAACCTAGTTGAAGATAACACCTACAAGCAGTTATTTATGAATTGTTTTAATGTGAAATGAAAATAGAAGTAGGGAGCATAATTTTCTCAGAAAATTTATTAATTTGTTATTTGTCCTGTGAATATTATTGGTAAATATCTGTTTTTGTTCCTATGAAAGTGAATGTAATCAAGCAATTACCATTCTTAGACAATTTGTTGCTTCAAATTTCATTTGACATTACTTTTTAGCTTTGTGTTCATCTATTTTATGTGGGGTAAATGAATATACTTTTCACGTATAACTGTGACCATGATTTGCTTTTCTATATGCAGCTAGTCCAGTACAGGCACCTGGTTCTGTGCTTCCTGGAACGATTGATGTGAAGTTTGATGGTGGATACGTAGTTACAGTGAATCTGGGTTCTGAACAGCTGAAAGGTGTCCTGTATCATGTTCCTGATGTGTCCCAGACTTCTCATGCTGAAGGAACGGCTAGTTTGCAGAATCGAAAGAGATCAAGATTAGCATCACGTGATCCATCTCGGCCAAAGTCAAACAGGAGTGGATACAATTTCTTCTTTGCTGAGAATTATGCCAAGCTAAAACCCTCATTTCAGGGGCAAGAGAGAGCAATTAGTAAGAGGATTGGATTTCTGTGGAGCAATCTGTCAGACGCAGAAAGACAGGTATAGACACACTTCTTTTACCGATGATGAGGGTTTTGTGCTTTTATGTGTTTTTTTTTTTTGCTTCTGAGTTCTGATTCCTTTTTCTTTTTTGTAACTTAACATGCTGGTCTCTAATGTACATAATGAAGATGAAGGGAAAGAAATGGAAAAAGGTTATGTTATATGTATCTGGACTAGTTTTTTCAGGAACATGGATTATTTTCCTTCTTTTTCCCTTCATTTAAGATCCATTGCTTGTTATATTTGCATTCAATGTAGCTATTGTTGATATGACTGATAATCTAGAGATGTGTTAGATCTCAAAATTTCTGTTCTCTTTTTATTGTACACTCAACTACATCCTTAGCAATCTATTAATCGACCCTAGAACTAAGCTAAATTTGACAAATCCTCAGATTCTCACCCATGGAATTGAGTAGGATTCATGGACATGCTTGAAATCTGTGTACTTAATGTGGCAGTGTGTGAATAGGAATTAACTTTTTAATGTCTGCAGAATATTAGAAAGTAGTCAGAGCCTTTTCTAGTTGTAGATGTAGCTATCATGGTGTTCTTCTGGCATTTCAGAAAGCTCCCCCGCAGGTTTTATGTAAAGCTAACTCTATTTTCCTATTGGCTTATGGAAGCTATCAGGGATTATCGTTTCTAATTCTATGTGGGTAATAACAGCTTCTCAATTCTATGTGAAAATATTAAGGGTCTATTTGTTTCAGCTTTTTAAAAAAGTGACTTATTTTTAGAGATTTTATAAAAACTAAAAAGTTATTTTTTTGTTTGGTTACAATTATAAAAAAAATACTTTTTTATTTTAGTGGGTAGTTATAATTTCAGCTTTTTTACTGGAAGCTATTCAAAACAATGTCTCTAGAAAAACTTAAATAATTTTCAGCTTCTGACTTTTTCATAATTTTAACCAAACAATTTTAAAACCTGAAAAGTGATTATTTTTGAAAAAAGTGCTCTTTTCGTGAAATTATTTTTGTTGTAGTAGTAATGGCTTTTTCCTTGTTTCCTATTCTAAAATTTAACCATAGAAGAAAAATATTTGCATGCTGACCCAAGTTCAATTTTTTGTTGTGTATGAAAAAAACATTGTTGGCACAGACAAAGCTCACTTCAGTGATCTCTATGCCTCAAAGGGTTTAGTCTCCAACTCTTAGCTCACGAAAAGCAGAACAAAGAAATGGAGCAACCCTTTTTTGTTTGAAATTATATTCTGGGGTTATTTATCTCCTAAACTTTCTCATGCAACTTTTTTGTGTGAATTTAATGCAGGTTTACCAGGAGAAAGGGTTGAGAGATAAAGAAAGATACAGGACTGAAATGTTGGAGTATAAATCCAATAATTCAACTTCAAATACTCAATAGGCTGTTATATGGAATCCTTAGACTTCCATTTCACATGTTCCATCTTTTGTTCATTGTATTTGTCTTTATCATAGTTAATTTTCTTTATCTTTCGCCATAGAAGCTTTGAAGTGTAGCTTTGTGACAATTCTAGTGTAAAATATGATGAATGATTTTAGAAAATATCTTGTAGCACTTTATTTTCTCGTAGTTAGTCTAAAATCATGGGTCTTTCATTCATTAGTTTGTTACATGATTTTCGAAATGAAAACTGGATCTTATGGCTATGTGATATTATTCTAAAACGATGGGGAATTACTTTCGCTTGTCCTTAAAATCTCATTGAAAATATAATAGCTTTGCGCGCATAATTCGTCAAAAATTGTATGTTGCAAGCATGTCTCATAAATGCTTCATTAGTTGAGCATGAAATTCAACGAGTCCTAAAATAAGGTTACATACTCTGACAGTTACTTGCAATGAGCTTATTTTTCCTTGTAGTGAATGTAGTTTGGTATCAAATGGTCAGTGTTACACTTGTGTGCATTCTGCTATAAAAAAATTTTAAAATACGATGGTAATAAGGAAGAAAAACAAAGAAAATGTACACAAAGGAGCTTGAACAGATGTCAGTGACCAAGATGAAAATATATGATATGCATTATTAGGGGAGAACCAAATACTGTAGAATGAATTGTGTAACACCAGCAATGCTCCTACAAAGGTTTATAATGCTACCCACTTCTAACAGAAAGCAAAATTGACTACTTTCTCTCCCCTTCTTCATTACAAGTGTATTTGGAAAGATATTTCATCTGATTAAAAGCTTGTTTAATAAAAATAAGTTTGTTTGGTAAGCTTAAATGGATAATTATTAGCATTTTTTAGGACTACATTAACTAGTGCTTTTCAAACGTTTTTTAGCACTACTCTAACTGATTCCTCTTTTTTAATTTCCATTTTGTCCCTTCTTATTTCTCCTGCTGTAGGTTTTCCAAACTCAGCCCATGACTGAGTTGGAACGGACTTGTCAACTCAGGTTCATGGGGACCTGACCGCAGACATCATAGGAAGGGTATTTACACTAACATAATTGGCAATTTAAGGGTGCAATCTTACGGGATCTTGCAGCTTCATATGAAGTGCTACTTGAGTCCATACCCATTATGAAAAAATCTCATCCATTTTGAATTCAGTTCTATTGTTTGAATCACTAAAAATTGAAACCGTATATAATACTGTATAATATTGTTTCTATCTTTCACATATTTTTTTCTATATATACATGCATTTAAAAAATACACTATGTAAAGGAGACACATTTAAGTGTCCACTTCTAGTGGTATACAAAATATTGTCTTTTTTATTTTTAGTACTCTATCTTTGAAATTTCTGTAAAGCAGCAAACAAATCAGGGTTGGGTTTATTACAATCACACTGCAGATTAACGTCATATTGAAGTACTACACAAATGTTCTAGGTGCTCGTAATAATTTCATGCCATTTATGTTAAGAAGGAAGGGAATTCAGGAGAGGAACACTTTGTTCATTCCTGAAAAAATTTTGGGGATCAAACTTTGTCTTAATTTGTGCCAATCTCCTGAAGTTTCCCTTAAAGTACTTGATGCCCCAAACACTTGCTTCTGAGTAGCTTGTGTTGTCATGCTTGTTGCTTCCTAAATCAAGATCCCTATAGTTTAAATAGGCAGCTCTTGGAGATTTTGAAACATAAGGAATCATATATCTATAAAGCATTTTCATCCAGTGTAGATGCCTCTTGGATGCTTCAATGCTATTCACTTCCCACTTGACCATGTATTGTATGTTGTATAAGTTACCTTTTCTGTGAGGAAAAGGGATTTCAGATTCTGAAATTTCATTCATTCTACCACCATACGGATCCATTATCAATAATGCTAAGGTATCTTCTTCAAGAAGCATTTTCCAAATTCCTTCTAGGCCAATTTTTGGTATTGGCTCCTTGACAAAGTCAGACTTGGCCTTGAAAGAGCTTTTGTATGAGGTAGTTCTGTTGAGCAAGAGTTCTAGAGGGTCCCCTTTGTTGTATCCAGCAAAATATAGCACTGATTCAATCCAACTCATTTCAATGCAGTCCTTGGCCTGCAATCCCAATTCTGGGAAGCTCTCATTCATCAGAGGGATTAACTTGTCCACTCCTCCAAGGAAGAGAGAGTTGAAGGTTGCATGGAATGTTTTTGAACTGTCACCGCTATTTTGAGCAATAATTCTAATGAAAAGATCCTCATGCAATTCGTGTGCTATGTATTGCCACATGTGAATGAGCTTGGTTGCTCCATGTTCCATTGTTCTTTGAATGTTGAACCCAGTGACAATAGGTGGAACTCTAACCAATCTTATCTTCCATGCAAGAATGACTCCAAAACTAGTAGCACTACCTCCTCTGATGGCCCAGAAAACATCTTCTCCCATTGATTTTCTATCATGAATCTTCCCATTTACATCTATCAGATATGCATCAACAACATGATCAGCTGCAAGACCATGCTTCCTCAACATGGTACCAAACCCCCCTCCACTGATGTGTCCACCTATTCCAACACTTGGACACAACCCTGCAGGGAATCCATGCACTTTACTTGCTTTGGAAATTTTGTAGTAAAGTTCACCTAATGTTGCTCCAGCCTGAACCCAAGCTGTTTCATCAGCAAGGTTAATTTCAATGGAATGGATGTTGATGAGGTCAACCATGACAAATAAGGCCTTACAAACATATGATAGCCCTTCATAATCATGGCCACCACTTCTGACTCTAATCTGCAGCCCAAGTTGTTTGCTGCATGCAATGGCTGCCTGAATTTCTGATTCATGGAAAGGTGTTAGAATGAGAAGAGGTTTGCTTGAGGAGTTGAGCCATCTAGGATTTTGTTCCAATGATTCCAATACTACTGGATATATTGAGAAGGATGAGGTGAAGATTAGTTTCTCAATGGATTCAAAATTGGCATCATTAACTTGGGTTAACATGCACTCCTTGAATTTTGTCTCAACGGAGGCAGAAGCTGCACATGAGATTGAAAGAAGCAATATCAGAAACACTGCTAGATAGGTCATCTTCATGTTTTCTTCTCTACCTTTGGTTGATTGAGCTATGATTCAAATATACAAACTTAAATATACACAAATTGAACACTTGCCCACTTGAAAAGGTGGAAAATTTAAGTCAATAACATGAGGAAACTATTTTCCTTATGTCCAAAATAAAGTTGGGGTAGTGACATTTCCAAAGCAAAGATAAAAACGACCATGTTGATATGACATTGTCCTTAGCACCCCAGCTTCGGCAGCCATGCTTACAAAATCTATTTATCTATTGATTTATAGTATATAAAATTTGATGGTCGTGACGTGTCAGCAATTTTACACTCCTTCAATAACTCACATTTTAAGCATATTTGTAAAATTTATCTGCTGGAGGATCTAAGTTAACAAGTTTCTGTCTAACCAACATGACCTTAACACTAAATCATTCATTCATGTCTATAAAATTTGTTGGGTTTGTCCAAATCTTAACATTATGAAAGTGTTCTCACAAGATTTTGGTTGTTGCTCCCTCTATTCCTTATGTTTTGTTGTTTTAACTTCTTAGTTTTGTTTCAAAAGTTTTATTGTTTTAGATTTTCAAGACTTATTTAATTTCTTTGCTACCTGTACCCTTAATTAATGGGGATATTTTAGTCATACCATGATAATACATTACATCAATTAAAACATGCTTAATCTTAGTGTAAAAATCTTAAATTACAAAGCATAAGGAATGGAGGGAGTACATGGTTTGATGCTTGATTTTGAGATAAAATGGATGCATAGGATTAATAGATTATTATTGGAGCCATAATAATGAGCACAAGAAAACATCAAAAGAAGCATTGGATCAACGAATCCTATCTCTTTGACTAGCCAAAACTTTTATTCCTTCTATGTCTCAATTGAATTTTCATTTGTTTTGTAAGGCATTTAATGTAACACCTTAAACAAAGGTTTTTGAACCAGTCAGGGGAATAGTTTATATTACCAATCTTAGGTAGGCGTTAATTATTAGGTGTTGCAATTTATAACATTCATCTTTTTTATGCACATTGGGAACAGTTCTTAAAATCTCACTAAAGAGAGTTAGTGGTTGCTGAGATAGTTAATAGATACCAAAGCATCCTCTTTAGTTTATAAATGCATTCCCCGACGAGTCGCATGCTGAAGAAATCCTATGTTAAACTTTGTACATTAAATATATTGTCGAAGCATGACATGAACTGCATGTATAACAGATGGTTAAAACTTCGTAGTTAAAATTTATCTATAAAATAATTCTTATTTTTTCAAAAATTATGTTTTAATCCTTCTTACACGAGCACTTTGCTATGTTTGGTCTCTATTATTTGCATTTTAGTATCACTATTAATAATATTAACGATGTTATAATAACATAGATTAAAACGTAATAAAGTACTTATATAAAAAGTAAAATATAAATTTATTTAAGTATAGAGATTAATTTGTAAATAAATAATTATACAGATTGAAAGTATATTTTAACTAGAAATAAATATTTTTTTTTGAGCTAGTCTAGAAAAAATAAAAAATAAGCCACCAAATAAAAGAAGGTGCTTTCTATGATGTTTGATAAACTTGAAAGGACATCTTATACCAATTTTAAATAAACGGTTTTAATTATTTCAATATCTTAAAAATTAAATGATATTTATATCTTTTTTTAAATAGACGATTAACCTCACTATCTATTATAGATATTTAATATAAAATTAACAATGATGCGTATGAAAGAGCATAGAATACCATCTTGATTTATAAGACATTTGTAAATTACAATAAAAGATTTTAAAAAGTCTTAAATACAAGTTTGGTCCCTATAAATGTAGCAAATTTTGTAATAAGTTATTATAAAACTTTTTGTTAGAATTTAGTTCCTAAAATGCTAAGATGTTAAAATTTAATCTCTACCGTCAACCTTTCCTCTTTGAAGTGCTGGTTGACGCAAATGCTAAACTTAATTATACTTTTGGTTCTTGTAAATGTAGCACATCTTGTAATAAATTCTTGCAAAAAATTTTATTAAGATTTAGTCTCTCATGTCAATTCTCTTTTTATTAAGTATTGAGTTATCTCACGAAGAGCTAGCTCATCATGTATTTCTACATCATTTAATTTTTTAATATTTTATTATTTAAAATTAATATTTATAAATAAATTCCTAACATATTTTAAATATTTATAAAATAGTCCTTTCCATCACTAACGTTATAATAGTGGAGATCAAAACGTAATAAAATACTTGTATTGAGACTAAAATGTAACTTCTTTAAGTACAGGGACTAATTTCATAGATGTGTGTCAACTAAAAGAATTAAATCTATAATTTAACCATAATCATTTTACACTTTAACTAAACAAAATCTAAAATAATTTCTTTTGTTGTCAATATAGTTAGATATTTACTTATTGATGGGGATACCAACACAAATGCAACAATGAACAATACAACAAAATTAAATCTCTCAACTTGTAAGAATCTAGAGGAGTAATAATAAATATTGCAGCAAATAAAAAATAACAAAATAGAAAGTAAACCCAAAATTGTTTAATGTGAAAAACTTCTTAAATGTGAGAGGTAAAAACTATAAGTTGTCTAAACTAAAGAAGTAACTCCACTATTATCAAACAAAAGTACAAGATAGTCATAAGTTTGTGCACAAACTATGCTTACAATCAATCAATCAACTTTAGTAATAAAGCTTACAAAATTGAAACACAAGAAGATGAAAACACCTAAAATAGAGCTATCATATGAATACTATTAATTACACTACAAACACTTGTTCAAATATCCAATTGTTTAAAACAAAAAATTACACGTCATAGAACTACTGTCAAATTTTCAGCCCAATTCAACAATGAAGACTTTGTAAACATAGATTTATCGAAACTGCTTTGAGTGTATATGGTGACTTCCTCTCTTCTCTTGCAGAGTGATTGCTCTCTAGCTCTAATAACTCCTTTCTCTTCCACAACTTGAGTATGACCTCTCTTTCATGAGCTCATTGAACTCTTATTATAGGATAGAAATAATGAATATAATATATTTCTTACTTTCTATATTTTACTTATCTCTACTTTTACAAGTGAGACAAAGTGACTTGTTCATTTTGAATTTTTTTTTTAGGATGAGAGGTAATGTCATACATTTATATGTAGCACACCAATGTCTGTATTTTTTAATAAACTAAAAGTTAGAATGCAAACAATTTTTATTCAACAAATAGACTAAAGTTTTGTTTGAATACATTTTTATAAAAGAAGAAAATAAAAAAATTAAGTTAATTTTTTTCATAAATTAAAATTAACTTTATACTTTATTATTTTTTAAAAGTTTTTTTATTAACTTCTTCAAAAGCTTATACACAACTTAAATTTAACTTATAAAAAAAGTTTAATTCATTTTATTTATTTTTACTTAAAAATTCTTATTCAAAAGTTTATTCGAACAGATCCAAAGTATAAGTGTATAACCACCTATCATGTTGTATTATTGGCCGGCAGGTTTTGAAGAATATGTATTGAGGTTTGTGTATATTACTGACCGATTGGATTTGTTGCATTCAGAACATTGTTTGCTGACGCTGAATTAACTTAGTCTAATTTGTCCTTATAAAAAATAAAATTTGTAGTTTGTGAAAAACTACAAATTGGTTTGTATTGGTTTGTATTCTCAAAACTAAAGTCATGACATTGATGATTACAAAATGATAATTTTATTTTTTATTTCTTATTCATTGAAGTTAAAAAAAAAAATGGCAAATGAGTATGTAGTTTGTGAAAAAGTGAAATAAAAGGTAAGAGCTAATTGTACATAATGAATACTTTGGATTATTTATAAAGAGTTACATCAAATTAATTGATGCTTATTTTATATGAAGATTTAATTTTGTTTTAAATAATGTTATCATGAATAAATATGTCATGTCAATTGATATTTACTCGTATCTTAATAATTACATCATTTGACTAATGTCTGTTTGTATAAGAATATGTCTTTTGTTCTACATATTTAAAATAACTTATATGAAATATTATAGCTATTGACTTGAACCGAGACAACTTCCAATATATACCAACAAAATAATCCTTTAAATTGAATAAATTGATATATTTTTTATTTTGAATGAAAAAAATGCTTTAATATAAAAATAAATAAATATTCATTTAAATGAATAAATACAAACTTTCGTTTTAAATAATTTTTTTATATTTTTAAAATTTTCTTCCAAAAATAACAGATTGACTTCTTAATTATAATAAAGTATAAGTGTGTGAGGGGAGGATTCATATGCTCTCCCATTCCGGTGGAAGCTAGATTTCCAATTATTATAGTTTAAATGAATTATGCAGAAAAATGTAAAAAATAAAAATAAAAAAAAATGCTTGAAGTATGATTTTGGAAGAAATTTTTTTTAAAAAAAAATAGGAGATGATATATTTTTTAATTTTAATTAAAAAATTATATATCATTTACAATAACAAATAAATTATTAATACATTAAATTCATATTAACATATCAATTTATATATTTTATTTTAAAAATATTAATTTTAAATATATTTTTAAAATATAAATTTTTTTCTCCACTTCAAAACTCTCTTACTCAAACACAAATATTCTAGCTTTAAGTGAATCAAGCGGCTGAGGAATCACATGAATGATGCAAGAATTTAACAATTAAAAGGAAATGACATATTTTTAAATTTTAAATTAAAAAATTATATATTATTTACAAAAAAAAAATACATTATTAATACATTAAATTTATATTAATATATCAATTTATATTTTTTATTTTAAAAAAAATATTATTTCTCCACCCCTCCAAAATATTATCATATGCACAAATTCATTTTAACATTTATAAGGAGAATACATTCTGTTATCTTAAAATATGTATGTAGGCTCCAATTTTATTTTATTTTCTGTCGTGGAGTGAAAATGAGAATGGATTAAGAAATAGTTCACTATTAATAAGATATAAATACATACAAGTTTTGAAAAT